GAAACCAAACACCTGACACACAACTCTCAGGAAAAGAGGTTTATTTGGATCATGGTTTTAGCTCATTGTCAGCTGTCCCTAAGGCAAAAACATCAAAGGATATGATGAAACAAAGCCGCTTAGATCATGACCTCTGGGAAGCAGAGCAGGGGAAGAGTACCAGTGAGGAAGTAGCCAAGGATCAGATATAGTACTCAAAGTCATGCCTCCATAATCTACCCAAACAATCCAGAAGTGTGCTTTATTAATCAACTCTGTAGCTCCCAAAAAGTCAAGATGACAGTTAAGTATAACCATCATAATATTTAACTGTTCATGGGTGGCTGTATCTGCCCTTCTCTTACTTTATGTTTCTGTAAATGCTGTTCTTCTACCCATAATATTGTTATCTTTATTAGCTTGCCTAACTATGTAAAGTCCTTTAGAAGCACTGAATATATCACTTAACATTCTGTAATCCCTAACCATTCTAAACTGAGTTCAATACCTCTTCTTATCACTCTATAATGCCATGTCCTTATTGTTTATCACTGAACTTTGCTAGTATCTTAAAATTGGCCATGATAGAATCTTTATTATATTGTAAACTCCTGTAGGGCAAGACACTTTTATTTTTCCTTGCCTCTTAGAATGGTGATTGACACATGGTGGTTGCACTATACATTTAGTTTAACCAAATGCGTTACCAACAATTTAGCAATCCATTAAGTCTATGGTTTTGTTAGTAGAGATGTAGAGAAGAAATGTATAATGTAAGACATATTTGTAAGGTAGAATAAACATTGAGTAAACATGTCCCAAAATGACTAAACTACATGAACCGAAAACGTAAATAAATTTTTTTAAAAAATCAAGTAGCAGGTTAGATGTGAAAAGCGTTTGAAATAAGGAAACATGACTGGTTGTGCCATTATCTGATGTAAGACTTCAAAGGCAGTGGAGCAAGTGAAGAGCCATGATAAACTCAAGATTGGGACATGGTGCTTTTTTTTTTAAGAATGTGATTAATAATATTGTATTACCTGAAATACCTGAATTTGGTAAAAACACACAAATAGGAACTATATGATGATTGGATGTATTATTTGGATTGATCATTTGTCCATGTGTGCGTGTGTCAGATCATCACATTTCTCTCCTTGAATATATACAATGCTTATTTGTTCAACTAGATGTTTTTTAAATGTATAGATGGAGTCTATCAAGAAAATGATAGTAAAAATGCTGAACTTGTTAAGAGATCAAAACAGAAAAAAAAATCATAGACTTAGAATAATTTACCTGTTAATGTTTCAAAACTATTGGAGATTTTCATCCAAGAAAAAAAATGCAGGTGTAGCATTTTGAGGATGGCTTCATGAGTGAGGTGATATTTGAACTAATGTGTTTGAGGAAGCTGAAAAGGGTATATTGAATAGAGTTGTTTTCTTCAATGATTATGGATCATCCAGTTCCCTTAATTAATACTTTTCTTTTGAATTGTTTCACCTGTGATTTTTACCTTGTTTACTGTATAGTTGTCGTATTTTGAAAACTATAAGGATTGAATACCTGTTATAAAGTTACTCTCTTCTGGGCCAACCACAAGATACTGAGTTTTATCTTGCTTAGTGTTTTCTTACTTACTGGCATTTTTGTATTTATGCTCTAATATCACTGAACCAAGAACTGAATAAGTATTGTAATTTGTTTGTTTGGATAACTTAGCCCTTTAAATGTTCTGTCTAGCTTTAGTGATTCTTATGATCAACTTGGTTATTGTGTTCCCTAAATTAGGAAACTCTCACCATATTCCTCCTCACTTTACTATTTATGAGACTTAACAAGGCTCTCAACTAAATTGTAAGTTCTGTTCATCTTTAACAGAACTTATTAGGTTTATATGGAAGGTGTGGCCAGCAAGCTATTTTAATGTCTCTGGAAACACTGTTTTGTATTATTGTTTTCTTTTACTTGAGTGTCATCTAATTTTTCTATTAATTTTTATAATACAAAGACTAACGCCAAGTCCCAAATCAATATTCCTTCCTTCGTTTTACTCCCAATTAGACTGAATATATGACGGTAACTCAAGTATCTGGGGATAAACAAAGAAACAAAAAGTCTCATTACTTGCGTAATCATGTCTTGGTTTGAATTGCACTGCTTATCAGTGATGGTGAGTCTTTTAGAGCTTTCAGTGACACAAACAGCCCGATGCAGCATGCATGCCATAGTTTTGTCACCACTGGTTTAGGTCTAGAGCTTCAGTACTTCAGAGTAAGAATGAGACTAACCAGTGAGTCATAGTATCAGACTGAGACTGGATATATGTTACTGTCACCTCTGTCTCTGCATAAATATTTTCTCTATACCCATAGCTGCTTACTATTCTCTACCTAGCACAACAAAAATGTACAACAGTAGCAGTGGCATGTTTGACAGTGATTCTTTCCTGGGATTTGGAAGCTTATCAGAATCTCCAGGGGTACTTATAATTTGTAAAAGTCCCCCAGGTGTGATTCTGATTTGCTTCCTTCTCCTCCTCCTTTGAGAATCACTGGTTCATCCGAAACTTCAACATAGACACAATTACTAGTGTCATGTCCTTCCATGGTTAAACTCTTACATTCCCATACCCCAGGTTTTCTCTTTGAATGATCCCCATTAATTCTTTCTAATACTATAACTTTTGAAACCAATATTTGCGTGTTACCAAATGGGTAGTCACTAAATTGGCCTTGTTAGTGTTTAGAATCCTATAAAGCAAGGTATGCACAAGCTTGAAAGCCCAGTTTAATTATGTGGATTACTTAAATTACTTAAATGAAAACCCTTTGCAAAGGATACGCAATTCTAGGATTTATATTCATAGCATTCCTCTCTGTTTTATTGCAACATTTTATGATGAAAATTTTAAAACCTGTGCTGAACTTGAATTTAAAGTGAATAACTATATACCTGTAACCAAAGCTTCACAACTAATATTTTAATATAATATCCAAATCGCACATCTATCCAAATATCCTTCCATTTTTTTCTAGTACTGGGAATTGATGCCAGTGCCTCCACACTGAGCTGCATCCCCATCCACTTGTTTTGTTTTCAGACAGAGTCCCCCTAAGTCACTGAATTGCTAAGGCTGGGCTCAAACTCTCTATTCTCCTCCCTCTGAGAATGCTGAGATTATAGATATGTACCACCATTCTCAAACTTTTATCTATTAATTCACCTTTTTATACACTTCACAGTATATTGCATGTATTTATAAAATTACCCCTAAATACTTTACTGTGCAATTCACAAATTAATTCAATACTTTTTTCAGTGTTTTTCTATTGATGTTAATTTTAGAGTGAAATGTCCAAATCTTAATCACTCATTTGCTGAGTTTTAAGAAGTGATAAATCTGAGTAACCAAAATCCTTGTCAAGGTATAGGACATCTTACAGACCACTTTCCTCAAATCACATTATTTCTTCTTGACCTATCTGTAGTCTCTCCGTAAAAGGTAAGGAAAAGGCTAATTGGTACTTACAGAACACAAGTTATCAATGTATCATAGTAGATCTGTACATTTCTCCATTTCTTGAAAGACTTTGCTTTTTAAATTATTTATGGATGCTTCAAAACAGAAGAGTGAATGAGAAACTTTTTCAGTTATGAAACAATTATTTTAGAAAATACATAATCATAATACCTTATGTTTATTTACTTAAATATTTTGTAAGACAAGAACTACAGTATAGTGAAATGTGTGGAGGTATCGCAGGCAAAAGAAAGTAAAAATGAGATAGAAAAATTGTTTTTATATTCGTATAACAAATGTTATATAAAATGGGGTCAAAATGTACATTACGCACACATAACATCATATTCTGTCTGGAGAACGATGATATGACTTTTATTCCAAAGTACTAACAAAACATAGTCTGCCTTTGGGAATCACAAATTAAATTCCCATGACTATTGGATTTGAGTATTTGTTATTTTATTTTTAATACATTTATGCCTGGTAAATGTCAAGTATTTTGTTTATTTTAGCAGTTGAGCATACATTAGCTTATAGCAGTACATTTTAAATATGAATTTGAAATTATTTATTTGCATTTTATGCAGTGCAGTGTTTTTCTAATAAATTCTGATTACAAAAGAAGCAAAACAAAAGTAAACTGATATTTCTGTAATAAAAAAATGTAACAAACAGTCATTTGTATATAGTTCCTGAAATATTACATAGCAGCTTTGAAGTCCATTTTAAGGATGTCACTCTTAGTCCATTGGTTTGGATAATTAGCCCTATAAAGTACATTTATAACTTGTGGTACTGTAAGGAGATGGATTCTAATTTCAGTCCTTTTATCTAGACACACTGAAAGAAGGTCAATGCAGGGTTCTATATGATTCATTGTCTCAACATATATTAGATGACAGAGACCTGATTATGTTCATGCATTTCTGTGATCATTCTTTGAAGTAGAGTATACACAAATATTTAAAAAGCACTATCCTTTTCTTTCCAGTATAAAGCACTATCAAATATATGACCAGACAGTTATTCTTCAACAAAAAAGCAACATTTAACAGAAAGATGAAAAGCCTTTAGTAGCTTTTATTTGCTGTGAGTCATGTAATAAGACTTTTCTTCTTGTCTTCTTAGAACTGTTAAAGGGGAAAAAAGAAAATGTTTTCTAAAAGAAAAAGATTTATGTTCCTAGACATAAGGAATGTTTTTAATTATACTTACAATTATTTTTCCAAACTTTACTCTTCATTGTTAATGGCAATAAAAGTAAGTATTTTGGTAGTATTCTACAGTCATGTTACAGTTTTTAAAATGTTAAAACAGCAACAATAGCATATATTCTGTAATCAGTGTCAATTTTATGTCAAATCATGGAATTATAGGTAGTTCTTTAATCTTCATGAGTATTTGATTCAATCAATAGCTGATAATGTACATTTTCTCAGTTATTTACCCATTATTGTAAACTTTTTCACTATGTTTATCTTCTTTATAGATGTAAAGCAGTCATCGATCAGTTTGGTCAGAGAATAAACTCTAAGCATTTTCTTGTAGAGGACAGTTACTTTTCTGAGAACACCTGCTCACTTGTGCAATACAGGTAAGATATTTCTCCATTTGCTAGGCAAAGAAAGGTGAAATAGTCCTGTGATTTTGTTGACATTTCTGTGTGATTCTGTAATTTATGCAAAGCTATGCCAAACCAAAGATGCACTCAATATCTACTACTCTTCTCTTGCATGGTTTCACATATTTTTGCATAAGGCAGGGTTTATCTGTAGGTCACATATCCCTCTTTTATGAGTTAAGAGATTAAAGCAGAACTTTACTTTGTTTTTGAAGGTATCATTTTTATCCTGAGTTGAATATTTGAAACATGCATCCTGGTGATTGTATAACTATACATGAAATTTATCTGTGGGTTCTAAATTACTGTTTTACTCTTGTGTTTTCCAGGCAAATCTCCAGAGCAGTCCTAATTACAGATAGATCTGTATTAAAAACAAATTCAGAGCAACAGGTAAATTCAGTCCTATGTTTTTATAAATAAATTTGTGTATATTAAAATGGAAATTACAGTGGTATAGTATTCATGGGGAACACATTGCTACTGTCAATCTAATTAACATATCCATTTTTTAGTTACTTTTTTTGTGGTGAGAATACTTTTTATCTATTTTTGTCAAATTTTAAATATGTAGTATAGTATTATTTACTGTAGCCCTCATATTATACCTTTAATCCCTAAAATGTATTCTTCCTGTTTGTCTCAACATTTTTATCCTGTGACCAACTCTTGCATTTCACCCATTCCTCAAACCTTAATAACAAGTCTTCTATTCTGCTTCTATGAATTTGGCTTTTTTTCAGACTGTACATATAAGTATCATCATGTAGTGCTTGTGCCTGGATAATTTCACTTAATAAAATGTCCTCCATGTTCATCTATGTTGTCCGAGATGATAGTCTTTCCTTTTTAGGGATAAATAATACTTGACATATTATTATTCCATATATGCACATGTTGTACTTTTTATTTATTATTTGATATACACATAGGTTGTTTCCATGTATTGTCTATTTGGACCAATATTGTAAGGAACATGGGTGTGCAAATATCTGTTTAAGAAAAGAATTTTGTTTTCTTCAGATATATACCGAGAAGCAGATTTGCTAGGTCATGCTTATTTCTGGATTTTAATTTTTTGTAGAATCTTCTTCTATTTTCTGTAATTTAGTACCATTTTCCATTGCCACTAACCGTGTACAAGGGTTGTCATTTATCCATATCCTTATCAACACATGATATCTCTTTTATTGATGCTAGCCATCCCACAGGTATGAGGCAATATTTTAGAATCTAGTTTTTTAAATAACATTATTACATAATTTAATCTACATAGCAATATGTAGAAATCAACATTATTGAAGTAAAATATATTAAAATACATTGAAAACACATAATGGCAATAGTATAATAGCTATGGTTTCCTAAGTATTTACCTCCAGTGCAGTAAATAATTGAATCTTATATATAGTTTTATTCAACAAATAGTGCACTAAATCTTTGTTTTGACAGTTATTTCTGTGAAATTGAAAATGTAGTGCTATGCAAAGAAAAGAGAATTCCTAAAGAATATATTTGAAAAATCTTAGGACAAAAGGCTTTGTAGTAGGCAACTATAGCAAATCCAGAAAGTAATTATGTTTGATATGATTTAATTTCAGCACACAATCCCTGTTATGATATTTTTAAATCACCCCTGTTCACTTTAGTATCTTCTTCTTATTCCCAATTCCACTGGAGTGTCTTTGGGCCAATAATTTTTTCCTAGTCCAAGCATCTAAATTTCATGGGTTCCTTTTCTGATTCTCTATTACAGTGATATAAAATCAGCTTACTCAGGTGTGAGTGTCAGTTCTATATGCTATGCCTAAATGTAGGCACCTAGGATTCCTTAAATTAGAAGCCTCCTATTATATAAAAAGTATATATGAGTGGATAAATTTAGTTTTCTCAGTTTTTATTGCTAACAAATGAACATTATATATAAAGAGGCACCAATAATGTATGTTATATATGCAAGTGTAAATACACATTTCATTTAATCATTTAGTAAACAAGTGCCTTTTACCCGCCAACCAATGTACCAGATTCTGAGATGATAACCTTAACCAAGATAGCATCCCTGCCCTCAAATAGCATCCAGTCTGGAAGTCAAAACAGTTGCAGACGAATAGAAAGTACAGTTCAGTATGACAAGTGTGAACATGGGTATAGTAAAAGTAGCAGCTGTTATATCACTTACCTTACTAACCTCTCATTGCCAATTGATTTTTCTATATCATTGGTTAAACTGTGATGTTTGAGAGTGGATCAAAGTGTGACATGGAGGCATGAAAATAAAGAGAGATTAAATAAAGACAACTCTTGGAAAAAGCTAAGCTATAAGAACTAAGAGGAGGGGCTGGGGATTTAGCTCAGTGGCATAAGCGCCTGCCTTGCAAGCAGGCAGTCGTGAGTTCGATCCCTGGTACCGATAAAAATGAAAAAGAACAAAAAAAAAAAAAAAAAAAAAAAAGAACTAAGAGGAAGGAGAAAAATTGATGGAGCAAAGTCCAGGCAAAGGTTTAGGAGGATGAGATTCAGGGAACAGGTTGAAGCATTGCCCTGAGATAAGATGTGAATGACAGTGAAACAAGAAGGCAAGTGCAGGACCATTTATAGGTTTGCGAGTTCCCATCTCATGGAACATTCTTTAAGCTACACAATAGAATTATCATCTGAGAATGGAGGTGTACAAGTGGGTCAAGGATATGTCACTGCATGGAGTTGAACAATGATCTCTCTTTCAGTCATATTGTGGAGCAATGTTAATGATCAAGTCTGAAGATCGTGGATTTATAATTCCATAATCTGCTGTCATTCTTCCAGCTCCTTTATTCTCTTATACCCACCATGTTAAGAGAGTCACAAATTCCCATCCCCTCTGTTTCTTCCCCGTTTATAATCTCCCCTCTTTACTTTTCTCTGCCCTTGATATCTTCTGAAATTCCCTTTTTCCAACACTTTCAATTCCCGTGTATCCATGTGTCATGACTCTACCCACAAAGAGGTTTCCTGTCCTTGGATCAGGCTATACTGTGCACCTGAGTCACTGATGGCTGTTTGAGAAAGCCACAGTACTTCGAAGTCATGGAAGTGAACTTCATTCAGCTGCCTCAGCGCCCACTACCAGTAAACTCTTCCACTGGCTTTAGTTATTTCCTGCTTGTTTTTCATGCAGTAACTAGTCTCAAACTTCACTATCTACCCACAGTACTCCTCCCTTACTTGTCTTACTTTCTTACCTCACTGGTAAAAAATGAGGCTACTGCATACTCAATGACTCTTCACTTCCAAGTCCTACTATCCATCCCTTCCTCAGACTACCATCCTTCACAAATCCCCTTGATAAATGAATACACACATGCTCACACACACATGCCATCCTTTATTGCCTTTTGTGTCATGCTTTCAGACTCTTTTACCAATATCTTTCCTTCAATGTAAAGGGAGCAGGCAACCTTCATTCCAATAAATAAATAAATAAAATTAAATAAAACAATCAAATGAACAAAAAACTTATTCCTTTGGCTCTTCTCCATCTCTAACTAGTATCCAATCTGTCTTCTCCCCTCATCAACATTTTCAAGACACTGTGCATCCTTGCTGCCTCCAGTTACTTACCTCCTGTTCATTTCTAAACAACACCAATCTGACTACTACCCTTATATTTCCACCACAGTTTGTCCTGTTAAGTTCATTAGTAATGTCATAAGAGTTGGTGTCAGGAGATATTTTTTTCACCCTTCTCTACTAGAATTTTTCTGGTACATTTGACAAATTATGTGGTACATTTAACAATTATTATTCCCTTTATCTTAAGGCTATACTCTTTGGGCTTTATGACACTGTACTTTGCTGGTTCTCATGACTCTGGCTATCTTCTCTCTGCTTTTTTTATGAACTCTTATTCTTCTATCTTGTCCTTAAATATTTGTGGCTCCTCCAGATTTCTCTTTTATCCCACAGTGTTATCTTGCTCCATGCGCATTCACCAGATGTCTCTGTGTATTCTCATAGTTTCAACTATGCATAAATATTGGTTCAGGCACTTATACATGTATCACAGGAATGTCTTTCCCATGAACCAGACTGTCTGTGTGGCATCTGTCAAGTGGCACACCCTTAAAGCTGATTTCACATCTTCCCTCACAAAACTTCTTCTCATTGATGCTTCCTTTCTCCTGATACCTTTCTAACAACAATAACATTTTGCCTCTCTCTGACATCTCAGCAGCCTTGAGTTCCTGCCAATGTAACTTTCCAAGAGCTGGTTTTAGGAACTTTTCTTTCCTATCAATCTTACTGTCTCTGTTCTGGTTATAGAGCTCATTACCTCTGCCTTTTTTAACTCATCATCCTGCCTCTGATCTCTCTTTCACATCTGTCCTCCACAGAGCAATCATAGCTTCACTCTTTTTCTTTCTGTGACAGAAAAGCAAGACTTAGAGAAAGAAAAGAATAAATATGAGTCAAGGTAACTTTTCTGGACATGATTGATAATAGAAGGTTGAGAGAATTCTCTTAATGTCTTTTATTAACTCTAAGATTTGAGATATTTAACTTCTCAGAGTTTAGGTGATGGTTAGTGCAGTAGATGGTTGCTGATAGTATCTTAATGAAAATTTGATAGTTTCAGGAATTATAAGAAGTCTTATTTGTTGGTAAAGTTCTTGAGAATCTTTTCCAATTATGAGTATATTTTTAGTCAATGTCTTACATGCTTCTTTTTCTTTAATGTTTGCTGTCATGAATACCACCAAAGGAAGTTAAGAGGAATGTGAAGAACTCAGCTTTTGAGCTATCTTGAACACATAAAGTAGGACAGATATGATTATCAGTTTCTATTTTTAGAAATTATTATAGATGTTTTCTCTGTGATCTGTCAATACTGCATTCCCAGTTAAAATGTAAGTATAGTACTTATAGGGAAAAATACCACTGGACCTTTCTATTTTGGCAAGCAATCTCTCCATTATAGAATATATTAGAGAATATAATTTCTCCAGATTGTAGATTAGTATGAGGATTAATGTTGAATCCTTAGCTGTACAGAGAAATATTGACCTGATTGTCATTTATTCTTTTACATATAAAGCCATTTGATGTAACAGTAGTTTTAAGAAAGTGTACCGCATGTCAATAAAGAGTATTTTGTAATAATTTTTTGTTTCACTTTTGTATTTGAATTTCTAGTCTTATTGATAGTCTTTCATTAGATTTAAAAAACTTTCACTTTGAAATGTTTCAGTATATATTTACTTATGCAAATTTTAACATTTTGTTGATTGGTAACATCATTTTAGTGCTTTCTAACTGCTATTTTTAGCCCTTAAATAATCAAAAGTGTATTCATAATATCTGGTATTTAAATACTAAAAGTACATCTATTTTAGAATTAATACATTATAATTAAATCTTTCAAAAACGGTATTTGAATTTATTAAATACTGAAGATTTTATATATTTAATGTCAATGAGAATTATATACACAATGTATCTGATATAAAAATACAGAAAGTAAATGCAAAAGCACACATACACATTTTACATATTGTCCTGGCTGGTAAGTCCACGGAGACCCTAGAGCTGGAGTGGGGATGAAAGGGACAAGAGATGCGAAGAATGGAGACAAGTCAGAAGTCAGATCAAGTCTCATTTATTCAAGGAAAAAGTAACAAATATATAGGGTATTGGGGAAGGGGCTGGGTTTTGACACGTCAGCAGGTAACTTAGCAACAGCGGGAAGTTTTAAAGAGGCCAGGGGCTGTAGGGTAATTTGAGTCTCCTGGGTGCAGGCCCATAAATTGCTGTAAGGGCCAAACCACAGAGACATGTGACAGGCTAGGTGAGAAAAGATAGAAACTTAACATTAAGATGCCTGTTGTCTTATTAACATAAGATGATGGCCAGTTACAGGGTTTCCCACAACATATTTCAAATTATATTCCAAAATTAAATTCCTACAAGCCAATTTTGTTTTTCAAACACCAAGGATAGTTTATAAGTTAGCACCCTAATGATATAAGAGTTAAAATGAAATCTAACAATTTTAACTAATTTTTTTCTGGTTTTAGATTTCCATTTTGACAGTACCAGGAGAGGAGCCAGAAACTTTTGCTGTTCGTGTCATTGAGTTATGTTCCTCAACAATGACATGCATGAAAGGCACATGTAAGTATTGTACAGGTGTACTATTTATCTTTTCTGGATTTTTTTTAGGGAATAAGAGAGATAGCTATTACAGTCATATAGTTGTGTTTATAGAGATTTTCTCATTTGTTTATAATTAGCAGTATTTATTCATATAGTATGTGACCATATGATAAGTCATTTCTTGTCTTCCTATTGCCTCTAAACATTTCTATACAGATTATATCTTCACAGGCATAATTTTCTAGTTCTCCAGTGAAATCATTTCTATATAATCATAATTTTTTCAACAATTTTCCTTGTTTATTAAAACCTTACTTTCACACAATTTATTTTAACTATTCAGTTTCTTATTTACCATTTTCCTTAGTATTTTAAGAATAATATAACAAAATATAGATAGTTTGTAAGCAATAGTAATTTAATTTATACAGTTGTAGAGGTGGATAAGTCCAGGATCATGGTACCAGTAGTTTATATCTGAGGAAGAGCCCATTCTTCTAGTGGTATCTTCTCTATGTCCTCAAATGGTAAAAGGAGAAAGGATGCTCTTTGGATCTCCATTTTAAACTGTTTCATATATTTATTTATGATTATATAAATTTATTTTCTGGTATATAAAGAGACAAATTACATGTGTATTAATGGGTTATTGTGATGTTTTGATCTGGTTAAACATATGTACCTCCTCAAGAATTTGCTCTTTCTTTATAGTGAAAACTTTCAAAATCCTTTCTTTTAGATTTTTAAAATATATAATACATTTTCTTATCTCACTTTACGCTCCAGTCTAACTGTAAACAAATATTAGCCTTTTCTTATCACTCATTCATTTCTGTACTCCCCAGACACATAATCACTATTCTGCTCTGAACATTTTTATGTCAGTATTTTTAGATTCCTCATATGAATGAGCTCATGTAACACTTGCCTCTCTGTGCGTTGCTTATTTTTCTTACTATTATGCCTTTTAGGTCCATCTGTATTGTAGCAAATGACTGGAGTCTATTCTTTTTGGTTAGTATTTCATTGTGTACATGCATTAATTTTTTATCACTTGATAGGTACCTAAGTTCCTCTTTCTTATCTATTATTTGTAGTGGTACTAGAATAATGGGAGTGCATATATCTCTTCAGTGTACTAATTTTATTTCCTTTTGATATATACCCAGTAGTAACATTGCTGGTTGATACATTATTTCTGCCTTTAATTTTTAAGGAATGTTTATAATCCTTTCCACAGTGGTTCTAATAATTTCTGTTTTCACTAATAGTTCACAGCAATTCCCTTATTCATATCCTTACCAGCATCTTCTGGTGTTATACTGGGTTTTATGTTTTGTTTTAATTTGTTTCTGAGTATTTATTTATTTGTTAATAGCTAGTTAACTATGGTAAAATATCTAATTGTTAATTTGTTTTTTATTTTTGATGGGTAAACAAATTGAGTATACTTTAATGTATTTCACCATTTGTATTCCTTCTGAGAAATTTTTTCACATTATTTTCCCATTATTTAGTTGGGTTTCTTGTGGGCTGATCAATTGAGTACAGTATTGTTGACTTTCTGGAGTTCTGAATAATAATCCTTGTTGGAAGAGTAGTTTGTAAACATTTTCTCCTATTCTTCAGAGTTGTCACTCTCTCAATTGTTTCTTTTGCTATATAGAAGCTTTTTAGTTTGATTAAATCTTATTTGTCTATTTTTGCCAGTACATTTTGTCAAAAAATACTTGTGAAGTTCTTTGACCAAAAGCATCTCATCAGTATTTCTTCCCAGTAGTTTCACCGTTGCATGGATTACATTTTAAAGATTAAATCTATTTTGAGTCTGTTTTATAAATGATGAAACAAAGTAATAATTTTATTTTTTTGCTTATTGATCCCCATGTTTCCCAGTACCACTTATTGAAAAGAATGTTGTTTCTCTAATGGTGTGTTCTTGGTCTACAATTTTGTTTAGATGACTGCAGACCTGGAAAAGCTGTTTCTGCTATTTATGCATAACATACTGTTATTAATTGATTTTTTTCAGATAAATATATATTATTTGAATTTCTGCAGAATTAAACTGTGCTGCCAACTTTGGAAAAAGCCATCCCAGAGTTGCCATTGTACAGAAATTTACAGCCATATTTGTCTAGAAACATTAAACTTATTTTTACCATTTGTACAGAAATATGTACCATATTAAATATTTGAGATTTTATCTACATGGGTTTTATTTCAGAAATTAAAAGTATTTCTAAATTAGAACAAAATTATCAAAAATTATTGATACACTTGTAAAACATCTGTAGATGTTAAGATTTACTTCTAGGCTCACTGTTCTGTCTTATTGATCTCTGTGTAGTTTTTACGCCAATACCATGCAGTTTTAGTACTACATTTTTGTAGTATGTTTTGAAGTGAGGTACTATAATATCATTTTTTTTGGGTTTGCTCAACAAATGGTTTTGACTCTTTGAGTTTTTTATGATTATATATAAATTTTAGCATTTCGCAGGAAAAGTTTTTTTTTTTTTTTCCTCCTAATTTTGGTACCAGGGATTCAACTCTTGACCTTGTGCTTGCCAGACAGGCACTTACACCACTGAGCTAAACACCCACCCAAGATTTTTTTTTTTTTTTTTGTATAAGAGTTTGAACTCACAACCTCATTCTTATGCCACTGCGCTAAATCCCCAGCCCAATTTTAGCATTTTGTTTAATTCAAATTGATATTTTGATAAGAACCATATTGAATCTATGGATTGTTTTGTGTACTCTTATGGTTTATATCTAAATGTTCCCCTAAAGCTACATCCACTCAAAGGTGGCGTTTTGGAGAAGTGACTAGATCATGGGTATGTTATACTCATCACTGGATTATTCCATTGATCTGTTTATACCTGGAAGTTATTTTGGGAAGTAAATCCTGGTGAGAAGAGGTAGATCACTTTGTGTGTGTGTGTGTCAGGAAGGTTATATCTCCCTCTTTATCCCTTAATCCTGCTCTACTTCCTTTCTGTCTTCTAAGTAATTACATGTAATGCTACCTTAGATCCAGACAACTATGGACTGAAATCTCTACACACTATGAGCCAAACTAAACATTTCTTTCTTTAAATTATGGGTGTCAGGTACTGTGTCTCAGCAAAAAAATTAGTTAAGATGGGTACTATGGATATATTATCTATAATAATTTCAATGTATTAATTTTTAGTGTCTTTTTCAATGTCTTTTATCAGCCCTGTATAATTTTTGTTGTAGCAATTCTTTGTCTCTTGATGAGATTTATTCCTGAGTATTTTTTTTGTAGCTTTTGTTAATGGGGTTCCTTTCAGGATTTCTATTTCAGATATTTTGCTATTGATGTATACCTACACAACTAATTTTTGTACAATGTTTTTTTTTTCAACTTTGCCAAGTTCATTTATTCTAATAGATGTTTTTGGGTGTTGGAGGAAGTTCTGTATATGAGATTCTTTTGTCTACAAACAATGAAAATTTGACTTACTCTTTTTCCATTTTTATGATGTTTTTTCTTTCTCTTGCTCTGCATAGCATTTCTAAAGCTGTGTGTATTAAAGGTGTGAAATTGCGCATCCTTGTCTTGTTTAACAACTTGGATTATAGCTCTTCCTCTTTCAGTATAATGTTAATCACTGGATTATTATAAATGGCCTTTATAATATTAAAATTCATTCCATCTCTACCTAATTTGTTAATGTTTTTATAATGAAAGGATGTTGAATTTTATCAAGTGTCTTTCTTACATTTATTGAGCTGATAATAATTTGTGCTTTGATCTGTAGTTGTGGTATAGCACATTTATTTACTTGTTCATGTGAGACTGTCCCTGTGTCGTTGGGATTAACCCTGATAGTATTGATTGTATTTTGCTGAGGATTTGTACATCCATATTCATCAAAGTTGACCTGTAGTTTTCTTTCATTCTTGTGTAGGTTTTTTTTTTTTTTGGCCATTATTTAACTTTTATATCAGGGTAATATTGATTCACAATATATTTGAAGTAATCTTTACCTGCTAAAATTTTTAAACTTATTTAGAGTTGAGAAGAATTAATATATTTGGAGATATATATACATATATGTGTGTGTGTGTATATATATATATATATGTGTGTGTGTGTGTATGTGTGTGAATACATATATACATGTATGTGTATATATGTATACATAATATCTCCAAATATATTAATCCTTCACATACATGTTTATATATATATATATATATATATATATATATATATATGTGTGTGTGTACATAGACCCAAAAACACACATATACATCTGCATTTTTACAGTTATCAGTGTATAAGAAACAAATTCCAAAGAATTGAAATTGACATACTAAGAGCAGAGGTCATCTCCAACTGATTGGGTTGAAGGTAACTGATGCTTAGTTCTTTGTTTGTTTAACTTGTTTTTCTGATGTTTTTTGTTGTAAACTTAAATGAAGTTTTTATTTTACTCATGGGGATAGGGAGACTGCACTGGGTAACCAAGGTCTCTGGGAACCCACAGTGAGGCCCACAGGGACTGGGATGCTGTATGCAGTGACCTTTCCACACGCAGGAACCATAGGTGAGGCTCCTGGGAAATGGTGTGCTGTATATCGTGATGTACAGTCATCTAGAAACTCACTCTAAGGCCCACAGCTTTTAGCAGTGTGTTTCCCGCAACCTGCTCACACAGAGGAACCATCCCTGAGGACCACAGTGATGAGAAGTACATGCCTAGGGAACAGCAGTCACCTAGGAACCCTCGGTGAGGCCCATGGGGACTGAAAATGTGCACTAAGCAACCCACAGTCAACCAAGAACCCTCAGTAAGGCCTCCAGGTACTTGGAGTTTTCCCCCAGTAATCTTCACATGTGCAAGAACCATGTCTGAAGCCCATGAGGACTAAGACAATGCACACAAAGACCCATAGCCATTGGCAACCCTCAGTAAGTAATAAGGCCTGCTGCTAGATGGGCTGCCAGCTCACTAAGTAACTAGAACTGAATTATAGAA